ATTAACTAAATTAATTATTTTTAAATTATTAATTAGTTATATAAGAATAAGTATAAGTTATATATTAATTTTATATAGTATATATTTATGTGTATTATTTTATTGTATATATATATATAATGACACAAATTATATGTTATAATGTTATATAAAATAAATAATGATCATAATTATAATTTGTATTTATACATATAATAAACTAAAAAATTTTAAATAATAAACTAATATATTTATGCATATTATTAATTAAGTTATATTCTTCTTAATATATTAACTAATATTATTACATCAAGTATTATTATGTTTGTATACCTTATATAGTTATATATTTATAAATACCCATTATTTCAATTATTAAATTTATAATATTAAACTAATCTTAAAAGATGACATAGTCAAAATAATATTAGAATTATCTTATATGAATATAATTAATGTAAAACATAATGGTATATTTTTTTATTGTATATATATGAAATGACACAAATTATATGTTATAAATATTACTTAGTTTGTATAACTTATAAAGTAATAACTGATAAAGTTATTAACTGTATTCATATAAATAAAATTTATTATAAATTATAGTCATAATGCTTACGTATAAAATAGATATGTGTATATTATAATTAATACATATATAACTATACAATTATATTTATGTGTAATAATTATAACATATTAATATATACGTAGGATATTAATATCATATATATATATATATATTAACTTATAAAGTTATATCATTTAAAATAGATAACTTGCAGTTTCATAATAGTACAGGTTAATTTATATATATATAGTTAATATATTCTGTTACTAGGATTCTAATTTGTATATTTATAATAAATTAATATATTTTTAATATATTATATTAATAAGTTCACTATATATATCATGCTTCTAATTAATTTATATTTAGTAATATTAGTACCTAAAATATTATTAATTTTTTTAATATATTACTATATTTTATCATCTATTCTTATAAAATTAAAAAATTAATTATTATGTTATTTTTATAACCTTTTTAATTTTATAACATTAATGAATTTGAAACTATTAGTTTATAATTTATGATTCAATAAAATTTTCAAAATATATAAAAAAAAGTAAAGGAAAACATATTTAAATTTTTAATATTATAAAACTTAGTATGTATATATTTAATTTTATTAATATATTTCTTATAAATGATTAATAAAATTTTTAAAAATTCTTAATATATTTTAAATAAAAAATTTAAAAAATAATAATTCCGATGAAATTCTCTAATAAAATATTTCATTGGAAAATTTCCGTTGGTAATAGTTTTTTCCAACAGAAAATTTTGTTGGAAAATTTAACAGGTTTTAATTTTTTTGGAGCCATAAATTTTTCGACGGATTTCTAACGAATTATTTTCTATAGGAAAATTCCAACGAAAATCCTTTGAAAATTCCGTAGAAAATTTAGTGGGATTAATTTATTTTTTCCGTAAAAAAAATTTCCAACAGATTTTCAACAGAAATATTCTATTGAAAAAATTTCGTTAGAAATTTGTTGAAAATCCGTCGGAAAGAATCAAATTAAATTTTCGTTGGAATGTCGTTAAAAATTCATTGGAAATTTCGACCATTTTTATTTGAAAAGGTTACTAATTATATCACTACAAGAATACTAGTTTTTTCTGACGAAAAAAATTCCATTGGAAATTTCCAACGAAAAATTTAAGAGGAACTTGAAATACATAAAAGTTAAGGGTTTTAATCAAATCAAGAATTAGGTTTCAATCTTGAACTTGAAACTTGAAACTTTAATTTCTCTCACTACAAGCCAAATCAAGTTATTATATATCAATTTCTGTCTTGTATTAAGAGGAACAAAGGTTCCATATTTATTGATAAGATCAATAATAAAAAATTAAATTCTTGAACCCATAAAGATATCAACTTAAAATAATACAAATTTATGACAAATCACATAAAATAATATTTAATCAGATCCTAAATTCAAACTATAGTAGGCTCTGAAACTAATTAATAGACTTTATATACAACTAAATTTATACTAATCCAAGATTTACTATAGCAAAAATTTAGAACACAAAGCGAATTTGATTTCTAATACATAATTTAACAACGAAATAATACTAATCAAAGTGACTACTGGTATTCAGTACATCAAGACCTTCCTCTTTCATTTTTTTTGCAACTTTCCAATGGCTGAGATGTTAATGTTGTTTTAGACAGAAGAAGGACCTAATCTTTCCTTTTTACATAGGATTTAGAGTTTCTTGATATGCTTATACTTTTAAGTTCACATTTAATATTGAAATCTAATCCACTTTATTACATTATATTTTGAACTATAATATTGTCTCTTTATTAATACCAAATTATTTTAAATTAATTTTTATAAAATACAAAAATTAATAATATAAGTGCACACTTCGATTATAGTTGAAAATCTAACATATGCTTCATTTTACGGTAATAAGAAGCTCTTTCGATTAATCATCTTTTTTTCCTCTGCATTTCTTCTTCGCTGTTCTGCTATATTTCGTTCTTCTTTCTCAATTCGCACAGATTCATTCTCCTTTTATTGGAAATTTTGAACCTACTTGAACAAATGTTTTGCTAGAAAATGTTGGGTCCACAATACGAATGTGGCAGTGGCATCTGGAAGCTTGAGGAAATGCATGCTGAACTCGTTGGGTTTTCGTGTTAGGGCTAGGATCATTATAAGACACATTAATAGCATGTATGGTATAGGGAATAGCTAAGCTATTCCCTGTCTATTCCCATGTTTTCTCTTTACCTCCGTTTGATATGCAATGTCATAAGGAATAACTATTACTTAGTAATAGTTATTCTTTAAAATGAAGTAAAACTCAAGCTTAACTAAACTTGAGCTTTCTCATGGGTTTTACTATTTCATGTATTAGGGAATAATCTTAAAATGTGATAAGACTAAAATACCCATAATAACTTAAAAATATTACAATTTTAGACTTATAAATATTCCTTTTTCTTCTTATTTTTTTTTCTTTTTCTCTCTTCTCATGTTCTTTCCTCTCATTCTCTTTAACTTGCACTATCACCGGAGATGGCACCGGCGACGACGGCGATAGCAACGACGATAGAGGTTTCACATCGACTGAGATCTACGGCTTGATCTGGTCACGAAAAATGTTAAGGCGTCAAATCCGACCACATAGTGCTCCAGATGGGCGTTTCATTACACCGGTAACATTTTCGGTAGTCGACCCATGGAGAAGAATAAAGGAAAAAGGAAAACAATAAATAAAAAAATTAGTTATAAATTTTAAAATATTAATATTTATATATAATTTAAATATTATTAATATTAATATGATTAAAATATTAATATTTTAAAATAGTAATGTTTTCTTTATTAAATTATTAATACTTTAATTTTTTAATGAATATAAATAAAAAATAAAAAATAAAAAATAAAAAATAATTAATATTTTAATCATATTAATATTAAATTATAAATACAATATTAATATTTAAAATATTAATAATTAAAATATAATAAAATATTAATATTTAAATTATAAATTATTAATATTTAACAAATAAAATAAAAATAAATAATCTTATATATATATATAATAAAAGATATTTTTATTTTTTTATTTTATATTGTTTTCTTATTTTAAAATTATTGTTACCAACCAAACACTACAATAAGTCATAATAATTATTCCTATCTTATTCTATTCGTCAGACCAAACTACATAATAACTATTCTATTCTATTTTCAACTCATTCTATTCCCACGTAATAACTATTCTATTCCATTCTATTCCCACATAATAACTATTCTATTCCATTACCCTATTCCCACATAATAACTATTCTATTTCATTACTCTAAGGAAGATGCAAGGAACCTTTTTGAAGGATGAACTATTCTATTCTATTTTCACCTCATTTTATTCCCACATAATAACTATTCTATTCCATTCTATTTGCACGTAATAACTATTCTATTCCATTACCCTAAGTAAGATGCAAGGAACCTTCTTGAAGGGTGAACGTGCAATTTTAGCATTGGAGCATTCAGTATGGCTACTAATCAAGGAAGCTTGTGAATAGCCGAATAAGCATAGCCATTGAATTTCAATGTTTTATTCAGCCCAGCAAATATTCCTGCACCATATTGGCTTTCTTCGCGCATTCTATGGAGTGATGCCCCTTAATTTATACAGCAAAACGCTTTCGCTTTGATTCATCCTAGATAAGCCTCCCAGGTAACTTTTGTTTCATTTTTGTGTTCAGACTCCATATCCAAATACTGGAACACGAAATGCATTGGATAGGGAAGCAAAGAGTACAACAATTAGACCTACCAATATATCTGAAAATAGTTTGAGGTTCCCAATTACCATGACTTACTTTCTTCGTTGAGAGTAAAAAAACAGTAAAGAACCAGAATTAACAGCAACCAGAGAGCATTAGCCCAGAGCTTCATATCAGCTTCACCAGATTCTGGTTATTCAAGGATTAGACATACACTATTTTGTGTCACAAAAAGGTTCTGCACATAGCTTTATGAAGCAAGGAGGACTAATTTCAGACTCGGCAAAGCGAACAAGGAACTTCCTCCGATGAAACAGCTAAACTGCACGGTGTTCAGTGAGCACGATCCCTTAAAACTTCAAGATCCATCTCTGTAGGGTCAGTAGCCTGAATCTCATAGTGGATCCCATCCAGTTCCCTTCGAAGCCTGTCTTTGGAAGTGGCATAAAGCATCTTTGCACGGATTCGAGAGGATGAAGGGGACCTGATCAACAAAACCTGATTGTTAGGTAAGAAGATCTGATGGGCAACTTCTTTAACCTGATAAATGTGGAAGGAGTGCCATTGCTACATAAGTTACAATAATAATGATGTCATGTACATAAATGGCACAAAAAAGGGCCATTTTTTATCGCTAGTGAAACCAAAGGCTCCAAAGAGAAACTTTCTTGCCGATAAGGTATAAAACTAAAGACAACAAAATAAGATTTCTAATTATTGTTACGAAAATCTAATTCAAGCAAAATAATGGTCCGCATTTAATCTCCTTCAGCGGCATTCCTTCATAAATGCTGCCATGGAAAGCACACAGACAACAAAATCTTTTCTAGCTGCAGGACAACCAACTTGGCAAATACACATAAAACTTTAAGGGTCCTTTAATATGCATAAAGAACATAAAAGGGGTACCATACGGATATATGCATCATTTGGAAACATGAAAAAAAGTATCAGACTACTCTGAAGCATAACCTGCATGAAGGTAATGGATAATATAGTAGCAGGCAAGGGCATTTGAAAAGGAATTCTGACAAATATAGTTATAAACGTCTCTCAAACTGAAGTATTAACAAGTAACAGGTATCCCACATCTTCTTGGAGGTCAAAGCCAAGCCACCATAGATATGCTAAAATGCCATAAACAAATGAAATTTGGCACTTGAGATGAATAGCTAGATAAAGTGTCTAGTTAACTAGCTGTCAACTAACAAGTAATAACTCCTATCAAATATGTTAAATTGAAATATAAAGACAATTAAAGGCAAAAAGAAAGAACTAACCATGCAATGAAAAAAATCTTGCTCTTTTGACAATTCTCAGAAGTAACAAAATCAAAGTCATAGACAGCATATCGGCAATCATTCTCAGGCAGAGATGCAGTGAAGTCATCGTAGCTCTCAACAGGTCCACCGGTTTTCTCAACCACAACCTCCCTTTTCTTCTCATCGATTTTAAATATCACATAGCGGTAAACTTTCTTCCTTTTCAGCTCCAAAAAAGTATCCTTGCTGTGATCAGCAACGCCCATGCCTGATGTAGCATTTGGCTGGAAACAGAGGCAGATTGTCATACATTTATTAGATTAAAAACTAATCAAAGCTATCAACATTTTCATATTTTCAAGAGATGATCATAAGTGGGTTTGTAAGTTCATTAGTTTTGGTAATTAGTCATCTCCAACAAATAGTGCCAAATTCTGAAGCCAAGATTGAAACATGTGAAGTAATCCAGAATTTTGTGGAAACCAAACTGCATACAGGACATGCAATTGAAGAAACTCAAGTTAAAAAGAAATAATAAGCTCTGTTTGGCCCCCAAGAATATCAAGGATAGCCTCAGAATCCAAAGGAGTGCATCAATTATTGAAGCTGTCCAGCTGATTCATCAGAAGGAGAAAAGGAACAAAAGGCCTTTTGATCGGCTATTTTTACTTGCACATCAAATCATTTCTAGCACCGAATGTTTTCCTTTGAACAGGAAGCAAAATGAAAACCCTTGAGCTAAACATATTCTTGTTCCTGGTTAGGACAGAAATCAGCCTAAGAAGTAGCAAATTCATCATTTTTAGACAAATCAAAAGGAATTTAGAAAACCACAGAAGAAAGAATGGGAAGGCAATAGAAAGAGAGATACCCGACTGAGTCCTCTAAACGACATGGCAGCAAAAGGGAGTTTGGAATAAAATACAAAGTAGGAAGGAACTGAAGAGCAGGCCCAGTTTTGTAACGAAGAGGAGAGGCAGAGATAAGGGAAAGAGAGAGTTGGGACTTATATAGAGACAATGGGGAAAAAAATGGTCGGTTCACAATAACAAAAACCACATGCATCGTATATGATATATCTACTACTTTAGAAAAAGGAGAAGGATAATTAAATGCTATCTTTGGCTTCTTCATTTTTGTGAGGTGAGACACAGAAATTTAGTTAAAGTTATTATTTGAAGCAAAAAGAAAAGATTCCAATTCTGAGGGCACACTGCCTATACGCATAAAAAGCTAGGATTTGGTTCTGTATTTTGTATATTTTGCAAAATACTATTTAATGATTTATATAAAAATTACTTTTAATTGTAAAAAATGTCAATCCCGTAAATTATTGGTTATTTTCTATATATTTTTAACTCAAAATTTTATTATTTAATACAATATTTGAATTTTATGAATATTTTAAAGTTATTATCTGAACTCATAATAAATAATATTATTTGAATTTTACTCCAATTTAATTATAAAATATCTTATTTTTACTTAATTGAATCGATAATAAAAAATATTCTATTACAAAATACTTATTGACTCCACTAGTAACAGTATAATAATACTTTATATTTGAATATTTAATTTATTAATTAATATATAATTTTTTATCTAACTAATAAAATTAAAATCCCTTTCTTGAATTAAAAAAAAAATAAATCTAACAATACTTTAAGAAGAAAACAATCGGAAAAAAGGGTGAGATACTTGACAAAGAAAATTGAAAATGACAGGTTTCTTCGGAAAATAAAAAGGAGTAGAAGACAATAAATAAAAATAGAAAAGGAAGGTGGGGCGGTGCGTAGGATGAACGCTTCCAATTTGCATGCTATTATTGATTAGACGAAACGGGCAGGGAATCTCCTCCAAAGTCACTTTCTCATTTTGAACTTGGAACCAAACCAGAGTACGCAAATCTCTGCCGTCCAGGCCCCTCCTTCAGATCAGCATCCTCATCCGTTCAACTTCTTCTCCTACTCGCCGCGTATCCTCTTTTTTTTTTTCATAAACAATTAAGAAAAGCCTATTTTCCATTTTCCAAAGCCCATCCAGCCCAAACTTCCTTACGTTATGGGCCCATTTTGCTCGCGACAGAAATGGCGAAATCCTCTTCCCTGGAAGATCTGGATCGTACTGGCAACTGATGTTGACAATTCGGACCTTTTGAAAACGGGTAATTTCGACGTTTAAATTTCGGAAAGGGGGTTTCGTAATCAAGATTTGGGGAATTCCCTGCTTAGGCTTTTATGGTTCTAATAATCTCCAAGTTTTTCGCGCGAAAACATGGATCAAGATGGTAGCCGTTATGATCACACCTTTTTTTTTTTTTTTTTATTTTCCATTTCCATTTTTCTTAGAGAGAAAAAAAAGAGATTGAATTGAAACTTTCTTTTTTAGGTCAAAGAGGATCGTCAACCCCTTCAGTGGTGCTGCCTTCTCTGCTTAGTAAAAGAGCCAAGCTTCAAGAAGAGCTTCGAATCATCGAAAGACAAGTATTCTCATCCTTTTTTTTTTAACCCCAATTTTTATTCAAATTCGATTAACATTGGTGGAGTATAAATGCAGGTGTATGATATGGAGACTAGTTATTTACAGGATCCAAGCCAATGCGGCAACGTTTTGAAAGGTTTTGAGGGGTTCCTCTCTTCATCTAAGAACACCGCACTGTACGAAGTGGCTGTTTTAATACGTTTCCCTTCTTCTCTCTCTCTCTTTTTTTTTTTTTTTGGGTTTTTCGCTGCTTGATTTTATTGTTTATTCTTCTGCCTAGGTAATGTTATAGTAGTTTCTCATTACATTAGATGAGTTCTTCGCTTAAATAAATAACAAGTAAATCCAAGAGGGTTGATAAGAGCCTTAAGTCATAGTCTGACATTCCTCTAGAATAATTCAATTCTAAACGGATGAAATATATTCTGTACATTAACTAGTTCCAGATCTGCATACGTGTCTTATGCAATTAATTATTGTATATGAGCATATATATATTGAACTTGTCTTGCAGCTTGAAGCGGTCCAGGAAGTTCCAGCCTGAAGATAGGCTGTTCTCATTATCTTCGGTCACTTCACCTGCAGTGCGTATTTTTAAATTAAATTTCCCTCTGTTTTCTCCTTCTTTTCTTGTTTGCTGTATATCTACCTCTTGTCCATGTGAAATGAAGTGAAGTATGAGATTGGTTTCTTCAAATGCTGGCACAAAGCCAATACCCACTTGAAGGTGTGTCTTGCTACAACTGAAGTATAGGCAATGTTGAATCATGATTCTTTTAGGTAGTGTTGCATGTGAATAATGAAGCACGTGCGACCATTAGTAGGATGAAGATGTTAGAACATGGATAAGGTTATGTTTGTTCCTTATTCTATCACATTTTTTGCATTGTTCTCTTTTTGGGGGAGGAGGGTGTTTTTGTTT